CAGGTGACATGCACAAAACAACCTTGTTTAGGAAAGTTAGCATTGCTTGTGCTGCAACTGCATCAAACAAAGACGGTGCCTTGGGCTCCGGCGGCCTAGGGCAACCGGTGGAGGAGGAGGAGGAGAAGGAGAAGGAGGTGGTACCTCCCYTCTCAACAAGTGCAGCATCTGGTAAAGTAGATCAGAGTGTTATGCGGTCATTGAAGGGCACGGGGGTGCCGAGTTTCTATCAAACTCTGTCGTCGTTGGGGCTGGGACCTCTGAAGAGGAGGAGCGTTGGCACGCTGCAACTCAAAATTGGGTTGTATTGCAATCAAGCATGCGCTCACTGCCACGTGGAAATCTCTCCTCTGCGCACCGAGATGATGGATCACAGGACGATAGAGCATATCGCTGTTGTAGATCTGACTGACGGTGCTCCGGAGTTGAACCCTGCGTACCGATACCTTGTGAAAGAGGCCCGACAACTCGGAAAGGAAGTGATAGATCGGTGTAATCTGACGGTTCTCTTCGTGGAAGGCCAAGAACACCTAGCCGATTTCCTTGCTGAGAATCAGGTTCGTGTTGTTGCCTCCCTCCCTTGCTACACCGCGGAGAACGTCTCCAAGCAACGAGGCGGAGGGGTGTTCGAGAAGAGTATCGCAGCCCTCCAGATGCTAAATTCTCTGGGTTATGGCAAAGAAGGGTCCCCTCTGCAGCTTGATCTGGTATACAACCCCTTGGGGGCTTTCCTTCCTGCGGCACAGGACGTCTTGCAGGTAGCCTATAAGACGGAACTGTTCGAGGCGTACGACATAACCTTTAATAACCTGTTCACTGTCACCAACATGCCAATCAAAAGGTTCGCCGACGATCTGTATCGCAAAGGGGAGATGGAACCGTACATGAACCTGCTCCTCAGCAGCTTCAACCCGGTGGCAGTAGATGGCGTCATGTGTAGGGATATGGTCAGCATCGGATGGGATGGGGCCTTGTTTGATAGTGATTTCAACCAACAATTGGGGTTGGGAGTGGGAGGGCAATCCGTGCCAGTCGTTCGATCAACTGATCGGCTGTTACATACTTCAATGAGTATGGGCGGAACCAAAGATCAACCAATGTAGGATGAGCATATATGCAGCGGAAGTCGGATAAACGGACTGACTCACATAGACTGACTCACACAAACTGACTCAAGAATCACTCCACACACATACAATCGTGAGATGGTGGGGTCCGGGCCAAGCATGGACGATGCCCAGATCCCGTACACTCATACACAGATGAAAGGAGGGAGGAGAGACGAAGGAGGTGGGGGAGGTAGACAACACTGGTAGGTCACCGAAATAGAATCCGATAGGTCACCGATATGGTAGTCCAAAATGTCGTCCAACAAGATCAAAATGTCGAGGACAATCAGTCACCAATGTCGGAGATACAAAGTCCAAATGTAACCGGTGTCCGAACTGTGATGCCGCCAAGTA